GTATCTAGCTTCTACGGTTGTGCAACATAATGGTCAAAGTTACATTCAGCAACAGGGTGTGTGTATTGGTTCGGCGGTAGCCCCAACTCTCTCGGATATTTATCTAAGAGACCTAGATCTGCGTCTTCTAGAGTCTTTTAGACATAGATCCCCTAAGGAAATTCTGGTGAGGAGGTACGTAGACGATATCTTGGTTTGTTCGACAGATGGCTCCTTGGCGGATTCTTTGGAGAAAGTAGTGTTCGAAGCAGCGCCAGAATTAAAGTTTTCGCTAGAGAGACCGAATGACGACCGTTTACAGTATCTCGATATTCAACTTAGGAATAGTTCAGGCCTTTGTTGGGAGTACGGAAAGTTCGCAGCAAAACCTCTTCTTCCTTTCAATAGCTGCCATTCTAAACATGTCAAACTGGGAATAATTCGGAATCTCGTCAATTCAACAGTACAGAAGTCATGCTAACATTTTATTGGCTCTTCTCTTCGTCGACTGACAGAACGTTTCGAGGTTGCTGGATATCCACAGGAACATATTTTAAGGCAGTTGATGTATATGATATGTCCAAAGAAGTCAATTCGGAAAAATCCTGGACCTTCAAAGCGAGTAGTCCTTCCATATTTTCATAAAATTTCGCACAACATCAAAGCGTTAGCCAGCAGGTTTAATATTGGCACTGCCTTTTCTACAGATTATAGATTGAGCCGTTTGACCCCTTTTGCCTCAACTGTTTCAGGTTGCACGATAAAACACAGAGAAAAGGATGTAGAATGTTCGTCGGGTGTCGTTTACAAGATACCCTTTGATTGTGGCCTCTGTTATATTGGACAGACTAAACGTTGTATAAATGAGCGCATGATGGAACACAAACGTTGTATAATGAAACAAGACCCGTACTCCGAAGTGTCAAAACATGTTATCGAATGTAGAAACTGTGTACCGTTGTGGCATCTAACTTCAGTAGAGTTGCGGGAAAAAGATGATCATAAGCGGTTGATAAAAGAGTCATTAACGATATTAGGTCACGGGAATGCAGTTAATAAGCCGTCGTTTGGGTTGGACAATGAACTGCGGCGTTTTCTTAGGCTGTGAGAAGTTCTGACCTTCAAGGTTTATGTCTGTCGGTTTTCGGGTGGAAGGGACGATGGGTCGTTCTTTCCTTTTTTTTTTTTTTTTGTATATGTGTTACTGGGCTTGGGGTTACCAGTGTGTTTGGCGGTTGGGAAGCGAGGGGTCAAAGATAAGAGAAGTGCGTGACGCAGAGTCTGTTGTCCTTGTTGTTTAGTCAGAGGTTACGTTGGTGGAAAGTGGCATTCTTTGGGGTTCTCACCCTCTCCCCCTTTTTTTTCTTTTGTATCGAAGTGCCTATAGGCAGCCGGCAACGGCCAGGCGGCGCCAGCAGGGTGAGAGCGCACGGTTACACCCTATCTCGTTGTAACTTGGCAAACGGCGAACGATAAGCCCCACATTGCGTGCCGAAGGCTTCGAAATGTGCGACGTATACGAGCGCAACGCACACATATTGGAGCATGACGCAGCGAAAAGCCTGATACTTCTTCGGAGTTGAGGCGCGCTCCGGTGATACGCAGTCACGTTCCGATTGGCCCGCCAGGGCCGTAGCTTCCGCTCTACTGGCACGTTACGCGATCACGGCTTCCTGGGATACCCAGTATTTCTTGCTTCAGACACTAGGCTCAGCGGCGCCACCAGAGTAATAGCTCACGTTTGAACAATGCAGCCGCCACTCCCAGGGGTACCCAATATTTCTTGTTTCAGTCGCTAGATGGCGTCAAACCGAACAGCATTGCAGGTTGCCTATATAACCAGGTTTGGAAAATAAAAATTTCAGCTGTGTTAGAGACTTTTTAGTGTTGTGTCGTTTACCCGCAGTCTCGGGGTTTTTTCAACCACGTCACCTTTCCCCGAAAAAATGCTGCTGCGTAATCGCAAAGCAAAAAACGAATTATTTGCCGATCTGCAGCCGCCTGTCGTGGTTACGGCAACTAAAATGACAGCGTCTCTGGGGGATACGCGAACAAAACCTGTCCCTCTCCGCTGCTACACTCGCCGTCAGCCCCGTGGCGAAGCGTCCTTTGTGTCGATCGCTCGTCACGACCTTCGACGATACTAATCCTTTTGGAAGTCGACAATCGTGAAGGAAGCGGCTGGGGTTTCTGAAGAGAGGACCCAGGGGGAAACCACGTGAACCCAAAGAGTACGTCATTCGAAAGTCCCCGTGGAAAGTTGAGAGGCACTTTGACCTTCGATGTTTCTTTTTTTTTTTTTTTTTTAGTAAGAACTAGTGCTCGCAAGAAGATGCGGTTTTCTGCTTTTCGTTCTATAGGTGACGCAGAAAAATTTCCGAAGTTAATTGGCCAAAGTCTGAAATTTGTTGCACCACCCCTTTAAGGCGAAAGCCTTGCTTGTTCCTCTACGCGAAACAGCGGCTTCATTGCGCCCAAAAGATGGCAATAAAAACACGGCATCAAGCATGCGCCGCTCACGCTCAAGTGCAGGAGCGTGATATGTCACCACCAGAGCGCCGTGTGCAAAAGGTTTTCTCCCGCAGAAAAAGGTTAAAAAAAATGCAGTTTTGAAAGGTTGAAGTAATAAAAGAAGTAACGGTTATTTTCTCATGTAACGGTCAATTACTTTTCTTTTGAATTATTCGAGTATGACCTAATAGAATATATTTTAGCTAAGAGTAATTGTAATCGACTACCTTTTTTGAGTGTGTGGGGCTCCAAAGAAAGAACCCGCCTCGCGGACATTTCCGATCGGGCTACGTCCGAGTCAACACGAAATAAAGCTTTAGTGAACAATTTTCCGCCGGTGAAACTTGGGCTCTTCTCATTCAAAAACAACTCCAATTCGGTTGTTAAATTTGTTTTTCTCCCGATTTTATTAACACCGACTCCAGGGAACCGCGGTTAACCGGATTTCCCAACGAGGGGGAATTTTGGGTCACGTAAGGACGGCGGGGAAACATGGCGGTGCCCCGGTAAGTGAGCGCCGCTCGCTTTGGAAATAATACGTCGTAGTAGCTGCAGTAGCGGGCGCGCTAGTCAGCAATGAATGGTGCAGGAGGCTTTCGCTTTGGCCTTACCTCACTTAAAACGCAAAACATGAGCAATGATCTCGCCACATTTTTTATAGACTTTCGACTCTGGCCATTCCTAAGCCTAAATGAACGCGATAGTTGTCGGCATGGCAACGTCTTTGGAAAGTGGATTGCCTTGACTCAATCGGCCGGGTATTGATAGCCCACAAAAGCAGAGAGCGTTCCCATAGACCTTTTGCTAGATTTCAAAAGCACCGAGGTGCATGCTACGAGTGTAGTTACACGCGCTGCACCTGCTGGCGTCTGCTGTAATAACAGTTCTGAAGCAAAAAGCCTAAAACAAATTTTGCCGCGCACGCGCGTTCGTCAAAGATTTATTATGATTATTTACTTCAAATCTTTTATAAGTGGAATGCCAGCGCGCAGATCGTACAATTACAGTTCCAGCGTTCTTCTCGATGTTCGGGTAATTTACTAATAGGTCAATTTTCAGTGGAGCCGAATTACAGGTTTTTCAATTTATGACGGTGTTATATACAGTTCTTACATGCTGGCCAACCATGCTGCCGGCGCACCGCCCGCCTTTCACTGCTCACTTCTTTCACATCGTTTCTAGGACTCAACTTCGTCGTCCTCTTTTGAACTCGGAAGGAAATTTCAACGAGGCTTTTCTTTACTTCATACAGCCAAATATTTCGAAAATTTCCAAACAAGAGTTAATTTAGTTTTACCTTGCCCATTATTTGTACCACGAGCAATAAAAATTGTTTCTTAAGCTCAGAAGTATGCCGCGCTGCGTCGCGAAAACCAGGCAGCGCGCATTTTTTGGGTCCCCCCATTTCGGGAACCTTTCCACGGAAGCCACTTATATTCGCTACAGCCAGTAGGTGACACCAGCTACCACACCATAATAAAACACGGAGCTATCGCTCATCCAGCCCTCGTCAAACTTGGCTAGGTACTTGTAGGTACCTAGTAGGGAAGGGCGGTTAACTTTTAAGCGCGGTTAAAGTTAACCGGCTTCGAGCAAACGGGCCCAGGGCTTATGTTCGGGGTTTACGGTATCAGCGTTAGGGGTAACGGGCTGCTGGAAACGGAGTTAGCGGTAACACTTTTTGGGGGTAAAGCGGTAACGCACCCGTTACGTTTTTTTCAAAACAGTAACGAATAATGCACTTACGTTGCTTACTTCGTTTAACAGGTAAAGTGGTTCCGTTACTCGGTACATCTTCCTTTCAAGACTTCAAAAAAGTAGACTTAAATATTTGTTGCAAATTGAAGCCAGTTGCTTCATAATTTTGAATTGTAAAAGCGCCGAAAAAAGACAAGGACAAATACGAAAAAATACAACAGAGGGCGCACTAGCAGCTGTTGTTTATTCGGAAAGCACATGCCTAATAGAAGCCCCCAAGAACTTGTTAATCATCAACTTGTCGGTGCAACGCTTGCCTAATATATTCAAAACATTTCTTTGATATAACGACTGATGCCCCAGTAATGCAATCTATCACGAATTTTATTTGCCTCGTGCACCTCTCTGCTTGTTTGATATTGGTGTCGAGTCAAAATCTTAATTTCATCCAACACAGACGTGCAACCGCATCTGCTGCAATGAATGGCAGGATGATCAGACAGGCTAGCTCGCGTGGCTAAATTCATTGTAGTAGATGCGCCTTGTGCAGCATCTTTTTGTCTTAGTCGTCTTTTTTTGGCGCTTTTACACTAAATAAACAAAAAAATTTGTCCTGTTTTTAGGCGTCTTTAGAAAAAAAAAAAAAAAAAGCCAACGGTAACTTCTTTGTCCCGGTGTCGCAAAACGCTGTCGCCGTCAATGCCAAGCGGGGAGAATAGCCGCCATCCAAAAGTAACAGAAAACTAACGTGCATTAGTTTTTATTCGTAACAATAACTGTAAAGTGTTCCTTTTCTTTTGAGGTCACGTAGCTCGGCAACGCGTCCTCTTTATTTGCAAGTGATGAGTAACGTGGTTCGTCACTTCATTTTTCAGAAGCGCCATCGACACTGCATCGGTATCCACCGAAAACACGAAACCCCCCTTGGGGAACTCCGTGCTTTCTTTTTGTAGTTGCACCTTCGCGGACCTCAATCGGCTCCCACGTGTCCAGTATAGTAAAAGAACTTGTTGTTGGGCTAATTGGTGTTGACTGTATTGAACCATGGTTAAAAGCGCTAAAAAAAGACGTACACAAGATAGAAAAACAAACACGGGCGCTTGTGTTCGTCTTCTATCTTGTGTACGTCTTTTTTAGCGCCTTTAACCATGGTTCAATACAGTGTCCAGTAGACTGGGGTATCACAGCATCTTCCGCGCAATCAGGGCGAGCATCACGGACACCGTCGGCAGGACGGAGGCGGCGGCCGGAGCACCGCTGCCGCCCTTGCAGCCCCAGATGGTTCGGAAGGACGTGAACAGCTTGCGGACCGCCTTCTTGCCGGGCTCTGCCGCAGGAGTGCAGTTCCTGGCCACCAGGCAGGTCTTCGAGGCATCGTCCACGTTGCTGGAAGAAAAAGCAACGCGGAGGTGAAGGCAGCGAAATGGCTTTTCCAAGAAGAGTTATACGCATGCGCAGTGGCTCGTTGCGCAGCGGCGAAAGCTCGAAATATGATTGGTGTACGAAAGCGGAAATGGAGGGAGCTTTGTGGGGAGATGCACTACCTTTTTTTGTATGCTCAGCTGCAGGTAACACACTCTCCTCAGAACGAGCAATAGATAATTTTCAGAATTCAGTGCCGTCTGGTGGCTGAGAAAGCAGTTTCATCTTCGACAAACAAATGTCGGTAATGAAACTTTACTTCATCGGGCACCTTCACCTTCGCACATCAGTGGCACATGAGAATAGGTTCTTCGTATTGAGGTATTTAGCGCACAAGGTAGAGAGAAGAAGAAGGACAGGACAGAAAAGAGCGCTCTTTTCTGTCCTGTCCTTCTTCTCTCTACCTTGTGCGCTAAATACCTCAATATGTTAGACTACAAACTAGCCCAAATGTCAACTTTACTATAGGTTCTTCGATCAATTCACAATTGTTTCTTGATCAGTTTCAGTTGCGATGGGGTGAACGTTAGAACAAACCATTACGAAGCGACGACCCATAAGCCCTTGGATTAAAAATCTGCCATCAAAAGGTTGTAAAGCCAAACTGCTGCTAAGAGATTGATTGGACTACATTCCAAAATAAACGCTTACGCAGCCGTCGTATCTAATTTGTGCGTCGTGTTGCAGTGACCTCTCGAACGTAGAGGCTTCGTATATTCTCCGTTTAGTATCCTCAACTGCTTCTTTCATCAGCCCAAGGGCGCCATTAGATTGACACAGATGCCATACACTATAGATGGATGGATGGATGGTAATGACTATACCCACTGTAAGGGCCGGCGGCTTGCGCCACCTAGCATGATGATGATGATAGCGATCAAAGTTGCCAGACTCGATATCGAAAAAAGGTATATTGTCCAGTTTTCAAACGATGGTGCAAACCACTCCACGACTAAAGCGATTTCAGTCGTACGCATACATCCATCTATTAATCCGATTACCTCAGACCTATGTGCATACCCGTATGTGCATACCCGAAGCTTGGAGTCGTCTTTATCTGTAAAAGGGTCACTGTTTGAATCTGACATTTATATTTCTAAAGGTTGTTTACCGGTTTCCTCTTGCACTATTTGTTTACGCACAAATTCTCACTTAATTCTCACGAAGTAACTACGTGCGTTACCAGTTACTGCGATTCAAAAACAAGGCGTAACCTCCACTTGAAAGTAGCGGGTTATTTTAGCTTTCAATTTCAAATGTGTCATTTTTACGAAGCGGTAGCCACTTACACTACTTGTCGCCGTTAATAATTTTTCGCTTATTCTACGTGTTTTTTCGGGGAGTCAACTGTGGCTGTACAGACATACCTTGTGACATATTTTGCTATCTGTGTAGCGTTATGTCGTCGTCCGAATTACAAGTGCGAGCTGGAGGGGCGAACTAGGTTGGGTACGTTCGTGCTCTCCAAAAAGGAGAAAGAGGGGGACGAGTGTGTGCTCGAGAAAGGAAAGAAGGCAGGATCATTCGCAATCGGCCGCAACACACAGTCTTAACTATACAGCGTTTCAGCCCAAGTCCAAACCCGACGCTACGAGGTAATGGGAGCAATCAAGCATGCATGAAAAGCGCATCTCACTGGGCCTTTTCTGTTTAAGATTGGTTCAGCAATAATGGGGCACCTACAGAAACATGACGAACACCATGACGGTGCGCTTTTGAAGCTGTCACATCAGCTTGTGGCCTCGGTTGCGTCTGGACTTAAGGTGAAACTGAGTATATACGCCCCGAGCCAGGGGTAGGAGGATCGAGTAATGCGAATTTTTGTGCGAGTTGGTACTGGAACTTTGATAACATGATAGTGCTTTAATATAGGGACGATAGTAGGAACGAGACAACACAATGCGCTAACTTCAGCTGTTTAAAGTTGAAGCTAGCGCTTGGATTATTAGGACTGTAAGATATCTTCCGAATATTTCAGTGGAAAGCTAACCGCGAAATGCGAGACTGATCCGCCTTACGATCTGGTGTTGGGTAATGTACCGCATATGGTACGAGACGTCAACGATTCCTGTCCAAACTGGGACTCAGACAATGAATCAAGTCAAACTCGCGTGATGGCGTCCGAACATCCACGTAAGAAAATGCGATGAAAGAGGATATTTGGAAACAGACCAAGATGGAGCCCATAAAAGCGCGTCTACCTTTGTTGGGAGATGGTGAAGAAAAGACCCTGGACACTGCAGGAGCGGTGCAGACCAAGAGGGATATGAATCAATCGCTGCCACCGCCTCCCGAATGAAGAGAACCAAAAGTGTCACCCTCTCAAACCACCTCACAGGAGCTGCGAGAAGCGAAGAGAAATGATCCAACTTTGAATAAATGCTTGGACAACATCGGAAAGATCACCAAGAAGCATCGAGGAAGGACGAAGTATGCATTCTTTATGAGAAGCGGGTTGTGGTAACTTGTACGGAAGTTGTACGTACAGCTCGGGTAGAAGAACGGAGCAGTTGCTTCTCTCAAAGAACTTCAGGCAAGCGGTCATTGCGATGGCTCATGGTGGTTTAATGTCAGGCCACCAGAACGTATACGATAGTGTGGGACTAGGTGGGCCGAAGAATTTTTCTGGCACGGAATGCCAAGTGACATTGAAATATATGTTCGTTCGTGCGACATCTGCCAAAGGACAGAGCAAAGGGGAACAGTGGGCAAGTCACCCTTAGGTAGCATGCCAAAGATTGCGACGTCCTTCCAAAGGGAGGCGGTGCACCTGATCGGCTTCATCGCCCCGAAATCTAACTCGTGGAAAATGTACATCTTGACAATGGTGGATGGTGCCTTTCGATACCTAGACGCGGTGGCTCTGGAATCAATCGGCACGCCGGTAGTGAGGGAACTTTGGTGGACATGTTCACGCAATACGGAGTGCCAGAAGAAGTCCTTCGTGACCTTGGTTCCACGTTTACGTCAGATTTAATGATGATAGTGAGCAGTTTGCTGTTCATAAAACACCTTTTGACTACACCCTACCTTTCAATGCGCAATGGGCTAGCAGAGCGGTTTAAAGGCGCGTTAAAGAAGATGCCACGAAAAATGTGCTAAGAGAGGCCCAAAGACTAGGATCGGTATTTACCAGCACTGCGTTCCGCTTGCATGGAGGTGCCACATTCAAGCTTGAAGTTTTCGCCGATTGAACTCTTCTGTGGGAGAAGGATACGTGTACCTTTGACCATCCAGAGGGAAGTGTGGTCCAACGAGACCTTGAACCAGGAGACGGAATACCTCCTATGACTACCTCCAGGAACTCCGAAAAAAACTAGAGGAAACGTGTCGATTTGGACCTCAATGCCTGGAGGAGGCCAAAGCGAAATACAAGGGACTTGACAATAACAAGAGGTTTATAGAGTGGAAGGGTCCTTTCATGTATACTGCATAAAGAAATGAAGTGGATTATAAGCTCGAAGTTGGAGGGAGAAGGAAGGTCTTCCATGTAGATATGCTGAAGAAATATGAAGAGAGAGCAGAACTTGATCAAGCACAACCGAGTTGCAGCGCGGCAACGAGTAGCGGCAGTGCCGAGAGAGACAATGGGGTGGGGAAGAGGACGTAGACGGTATTCCCACCTTGACTCTGACCGGGCAACACACTGAGAAGAACGTGCTCAACAATCAGCCCTAGACTCCGCGCACAAGCCACAAATTTTGGATTTGGTTACAGAATACCAAGAAATCTTCTCGGATTCCTCCAGGTAAACAAGCCAAGACAAACGAAAAAAGTTATAAATGTCAGGCGCAAAGCAATAATTAAACAAATCATTGAGAAAAGTGGTAACTTTTTGTGCGTTTTGCTGAATTTTTTTAGAAACATTTTAACAAGAAAATTTGCATAATTATCACACATAGCAAGCTAAGAGCCGTTTGAATTCCATAAAACAAAAATGTAAAGCGTTTCGAAAAAAAAAAAAGTGATTTTTACTGAATTAGTGAATAATGCCTAAATTTACGCCCATTTTAAATGTTCAAACCACGCTGTCACACCATAAAAAAAAATGTTTTCAGCGAAAAGTTTTTCGAAAAAAGTTCAGGACCTTGAGATAAAAAGCCACGAATTATTTTCTTTTTTTTAATCTAAAATGGTCGACCGCATCACCTGAAACGTTCGAGATGGAATGACCTTTATGCATCGTATTAAAGGCAGTCTGCATACAGATTCGAGCGCAAGTAACCACGAGATCCGTGCTTCGAATGCCGCATGGCAATGAGTCCAAGGAGGAAACTTGGGCACGCGGCATTCGAACCGCGGACGGCATTTTGTATTATGCATGCACAGCGTTCGAACAAAAGACGCACCACGAAGAGCAGTCGACGCTCTTGTTCGCTTCGACTGGAGGTAGACAGCGGGCCGAGACTGAGGCAGCTGGCCTTGGGGTCTACCCACTAATCTGTCCAATCAGAGATCGCCACTCCTACGTCAGAGGCCGCTCTAGTTTCTCTCTCTCTCTTACATTTTATCCGTATAGTTACCACATCCTTCCCAAAAAATCTTCGTTGAGCCTCACCTGCACAGTTTCTTGGCGTCAGCCTTCGATGTCTTGAGAGGTTCGGAGAGGAAATCGCGTATCGCCTTGGACATGCACGGTGTGAAGCGCTCCACGTCGTGGCACTTGTACGCCGTCACGATGGCTAGAACACAAAAACGCGCAGAAAAAGCAAAAAAAAAAAAAAAATCAGTTTAATGAAAACCTAATTTTTTACAACACGCTGCTTTTTTTTTTTTTTTTTTTATTGGAAACAAATATTTTGAAGTACCATGACCGCAGGCTTGGTTATGTTGTTCTTAGCGACCGGTTGCAGGAGTCCTACGGGCTACGCGTGTAATAGGGCTTCCACAATATTTCCCTTTGTCCCATTCTCCGGATGGAGTTCCACTTGTTCGCCCAGCATTGAAGCATTATGCCCCATTCCAATGCCAACTAGAAGGCAAGGCCTGCGTCTGGCGCCGCATGATTGATTGATTGATTGATTGACTTCGTTGTGTGGCACTAGAAAACCCACCAGCGGCAACGCTGATGCTTGTTAGGCCTTGCTGCGTGGATCCACTAACGATGACGTTCAATGAGGGGGGGAAGCCGCATGCGCAGCAGTTGTTTTCTATACTCATCCGTTCACCCTTAAAAGGAAACTCAAGCGTTTCTGTATTTCAGTAAAACACACATAAATCGCATTCGTTTGACCTTCAGAATCACAAATACCAAAATGATTTAATTTTTTATTATTCTTTTTTTTTTTAAATTTTGTGCATGGAGGTTTTAGAAGATCGCTTCCAAAGTACTGCTAAAGTCTCCCCTCCCCACCCCCTTTCCTTCGCGGAGCGTTACGTCATAAAAGGGATTTTCGGAATATCCGGTCCCGGACATCTTTAGCGCCCACCAAACCTGTACACGCGCACTCCTGCAATTTTTACAAAAAAAAAAAAAAAAAAAAAGTTAACTAAAGAAAAGACGTCACCACCGGTGTCAGTACGGGAGATTATACGTCAATTTTTTTTTGCCAAATTTTGCGGGGAAACTGAGTTTATGTTTAGATCGCGTGACGTAAAGCCACGAGACATCATTTTCCCCACGAAATTTAGCGGGAAAGTGAATTGGTGCTGACGACACGTGACGTGAATTTTCCCGCTAAATCTAGCGTGGAAACTGAATTTGTTCCTAGGTCACGTTGCACGAAGTCATGTTACGTTGTTGTTGTTGTTGTTGTTGTTCTGTTGTTTTGTTTTGCTAAATTTAGTGGGGAAACTGAATTATTGTTAAGGACACGTGGCGTCAAATTTCCCACTAAATCTAGCGGGGAAACCGAATTTGTGTATAGGCCACGTGACAGAAAGTGGTGACGAAATTTTTCACGCTAAATTTAGAGGTCAAACTAAATTGTTGTTGAAGTCACCTGAAGTCAATTTCCCCCCTACATCTAGCAGGCTAGATGCCCTGCTTGGGAGCAGTTTCTCCGCTAAATTTAGCGGGAAACACTATTGATGTACGGGTCTGTGACGTCCCATAATGCAACCCGCGGTTACGCCGACGTCGACGCCAACGCCGGTTAATACGGGAACGGGCGCGTAAGATCTGCGCTCTAAAAACACTCCTTTGTCAAGTGGCTTACACAAAACTCTGCTAGAACCAACTCAGTTGAAAGGAGCCTGACTCGAGAAAGGGGCTTCGATATCCGCACTCGAGAACCGAACTTGACGCGATCGCAAAGCCATTTCTTTTGGAGTGACCACTCCGGGAACTGCACGGCTGCACATACTGGTTTAGTCGAGTCATCAATGGCCGGTGGTGCCAAAGTCCGTGTATAGAGAGAGTGTGGTCAATGCGAGGAGCCGGCGACAGCGGCCTGAATGAATAAAAATATTTTTTGTAGAGCCTGAATTGGGCGGTACCTAGCGACACCCAGCCTAGCTACTTGCAATTACTCTGCTTGACCCTGCCATCTGGTGGCAAGCGATTTAAACTTCTTTCACGCTACGCGATCAACAGCGGCTTCGAGTTTTTTTTCTTCTGAGAGCGGCTTTTGGTTTCGCGGATTGGTTTTCCATTCCTCCGTGATGTGCGGTTGACAAAGAAATTGTGACTCGAGGAACAACAAAGGTAAGACGTAAAGGGCGCGAAGTAACTGGGTATCGGTTGTCTCCGTTTAACATCGTAGTGCTGACGACGAGAAGACTAAGTAACTGCTTTCGAAACGGAAGTTTCTGTACCTGTGGGGGGAATCTGACTTCGGAAATGAATACAGCTCGCGGAAAGCTCGTGTTACGTTTTTATTTGCTGCTCCTCTCGTCCCGTACAAGAGACCTAGCGTCCTCGTTAAGCCTTATTGCGCTCGACTTGGTCGATTCAGGGCCGCCATAATGAGATGCAGGCGACGGAGGAACTATTTGCTCCCCTGCTTCAGGGACGAAAGTTTTTCCCTTTCTAAAAAAGCATAGGTTACAAGACCGTTCCTCCCGTCAAGGAGGACTATCGAACCCTTTTTCATAAGAGTGTAGCGCACACCAGCTCGGAGAACGTGGAGCGAAAGCTCGCGCTGCAGAACCCAGGGATCCATGGGTCCAGTACCCACCCCTGTCCGTTTCGATCTGGATGAGCATCGTATGCCGGCGTGGTGTCCTGTAGCACTACCGCGTTGTGCACATTAAAGACCCCGGGTTAGTGGTTGTACTGCACTGACTAAATTACTCATCTACAGCTGAGACATCAGACACCTTTTTGGGCTAACTAACTTTCGGCTGTATGTAAACATACACATAACGCAATCACCATTGCTTGTCTCGGTGCGGGCTTTAATGTAGCGTACGTAGATAGCAGAGTTTTACCAAAAGCTCGATCGGGGTGGTTCCGCTTTTAATGAAGATCGTTTGTCCAAGGACTGGACGGTCAGCCCAAAACTCGAACCGACACGTTCGCTCACTACGCGCTCGCCCCTGTCTATAGACCTTTTCTGCAAGGGCGCCGCCATCTTGAATTGACGTTACTTCCAGTATGGGCGAAAACATTGTTTTGCCTTTGCCACGACAATAGAAGGCATTTAGGAGATAAGCGTAACCGTCACCCATTTTCATTTTGCCTCGCCTCTATTTTATTATTTTCCGGATGAAACGTTTTAGTATTTTTTCGTCGCCCATACCGGATACTCCTATTAGGTGGCTGAGGACGAGAGTACACAGAAAAGGTCTATAGCGAGTTTTAGTAGGCCGTGTTTCCCCCTCCGCTAAGCCCCTCCACTACCCGGAGCTCTTCAGCCAAGGCCATCAGCACGCAGGCGCAGCGGCGGTTTCTTCGTAGCGGAGGGTTAGCGGAAGAGGAAAACTCGTTTATACCCCCTCTTCTTCTAGAGAAGAACCCACATTCTCCTGTAGCCGACACTTTGACATTAACCTTGAGGTTCTCGAGTCAAGTAGCATTTGGAGTCGAGGTCGGTTGATGAAGCGCCCAACCGGCCTCGAGTGGAGTTTCGAGTCGAGTTTCGAGTCAAGTTTCGAGTCGAGTTTCGAGTCGAGTTTCGAGTCGATGTCCATTTATGATTACGGCTGTAAATATTCAACAGGTGTCACGTGGTGTATGGCCTACCGCTGGAATGTAAGCTGAGAGAAGGTTATAAAAGTGGTGGTTGCCTGCAGGTGTGTCCACCCGCTTTCCTTCTCGCAAGGGGCGACGCAACACATGCCCACTTGGGACAAACTTGCGCAGACGGCATCCGCCATAATAACGGCAAACACTCTCCATGGTTTGAGTTGCTCAAGCTCTTAAATCTAGGCTCTCGACCGTAGTGCTGGATTTGCTACGCTACTTACTGGTGGCCAGCGTGGGACACCGACTGAATGTTGCGTCACCGTTGAGCCGAACTATATATATATATATATATATTCATTTAAGACACGTGCTTTGCCAAGAGTTAGTGACGACGAGTATAACGAGGCTATATTGAGTTCAGAAGTACAAAGTGTACTCTACCCGTCAAGGCGGTCTTGTTGGTGAGTTCCCTGACGAGAAGATCGGAGGTGGACTGCACACGGCCGATGTATTGCGTTTCCTGGGAGCTGGCACAGCGTTTTTCCGACTCCACGAAACACTGGAAAGCTGCAGAAAACTGTCTGCGGAAGAAAGGAGCAGTGTAAACACACACGCACACAGGAACACGCACGGACATCATAAGTAAGATAGATCCAGTCAGTTATAGATAGAGCGAGTGGTGAGAGCATTGTGTGTATGTTTAGAGAACTGGGAATAAGTCAACCACAGTGAGCGGCTGGTGTTTCAGCTGTAGATAAGAAATTTAGCCAGGGCAGTACGCACGTCGGTACGATGCTCATCCAGATCGAAACGGGTAAGGGTGGGGGATTGAACTCAGGATCCCTGCGTACTGCAGAGCGAGCTTTTGGTAAAATCACGCAAGTTCGGTAGTTCGACCGGATATTCTTTCAACCGTGTTGGAGTGATCGTGACGAAGAGAAATGTATAAGGGTTCTCAGGAGAGCATAAACGATGGTGTTGTGACAGAACTTGTGAAACACAGCGAGACGAACCAGTTCACTGCGGCCGGTTATCTAGAGAAGCCAGATTGCAAATGAACGTTAGTTGGGAAACACTACTCTTCACTTTCTCACATACTTTAGTGACCACAAGGCTGTGTCGAGTGTTATCGAGCTAATGTATACTGGAGATGCACAAAAAGTGGCTGTTACTACGCGCAAACGCAGCTATCGCTGTTAATTCTTCGCACGCCGTGGCAAAAAAAAAAAAAAAAAAAGTTGCTAAGTTTGGCCATGCCTATATAGAATACCAATTACCCCAAAAGAATTCATTTAAAAAAGATTGCGCAATATTTGCGTTGCGAGGCACGGTTTGAGTAAGGAGCGATTGCGAAATATATGGTTCCATTTCTATACGGCCGCCCGAAAATAGGAGCATCGTTTCGGAATCATCCACATGGGTTTTTCGGGCTAAATATTGTGATAAAATAACTTTTTGTAGAGGAAGCTTATATTTTAACACACTTGACCTATCCAAGTTCTAAAACATTATTTATTTTCTTAGATTTGATAGTTTTAATAAACAAGTATGTCACGTGAAAATGAAGGAGCAAGAGGCCAAAGATTGCCTGGTAACCGAGGACCAGCGATAAACATCCATCGATGTAGAAAATACAAAATCGTTCTTAACCAAATAACACCGATAAACAAACGTTTGTGTTAAAAGTAAAAAAATGGAATTACAAAAAGGTCACTGATTCGTAAAAATGAAAAAAACAAACAAAAAAAAACAACATGGACTTACTTTTTTTTATTACTTTTTTTTTACCGATAATTACCGTTTCAGGCGTTCGTTCGAAACAAATTATCGAAATAACAGATATTTCAAAAGAGAATGACGGGCGAAAAGCATTCGTTGATTTTCCTCAAACATAAACACCGGAAAGTCTATGTCCTAGGTATTCAGGGCGCTGTTACTTTGTGTAGTTGGTCAAGGCAGCGTCCAGCGCGGCGCCCTGCTTCCTGGTGAGGTCGGTCAAGTTGCCTGTCAGGTCATTTAGGTGACTCTTGAAGCACGAGGTTGTCTTCGGAAAGGCGCACTTGGCAGACGCCGCAGAACCTGAATAAAGAACGTTGCGATCATCGTCTCGTGAGCGAGCAAAGATATACTCGAAAAAATGGTAGCGACCTTTGTCATCAAAGTTTCATATAATACATTGAATGTAGTATTTAAAGGGACACTGACAGGGTATTTACACTCGCCAAGGTTTTTATTTGCACATGCCACAGGAGAGCCCAACTACCCAGAACCCAATTTACGGCTCGAACTTCGTTTTCTTTCCGCCCTAAAACAGCTCATCGAGAACTGGCCATTTTGAGTCGCGCTCACTCTCTTTTCTGTGGTCACGTGCCGTTTTCTATGGCTTAGACACAACCACCAAAGATAATCAGAGTCGCGGGTCATCGAAGGTACACACTCAATACTAAACGAAGACTGAAAATAAGACACCCATTTTTTTTTTGTGGCTTCTAAAACGTTACTAATACGTTGACAAAAAAAAAAACAAAAAAAAAATGAGGCACAACAGCGTGACTTTTGGCAATTTTCTCCTCTATATTTCTTCTTCCTCCCCAGTTCAGTTTCGGTTTCAAGCAGTTGCGGTTTTTGACTTTATTAAAAATATACGCGGCGCTGTAACAAAATATTGATTGTGTAGTCTTTTAACACCATTATAAATTGCCTGGGAAAAAAAAATTGGGGGGTGTCAGTGTTTCTTTAAGGAATTCGGAATACGCTTAGCGGTCGTTTCTGGGGGTGAAGAACACATTGTTTATTCACCAACGTCACATGAGATGACGCCACGGGACGTGGTCGCGTGAGCCGACGTTACGCGGTGTGGTCACGTGACCTAAAGTCAAGGCGTCAAATCGTGGTGTAACGCAACACTGCGACATCTGGCAACTCTTTTCACCGCAAAACGTCGCGCAAATAATGTGACGTGTGGCGATTCATTCCTCGGGAACGCCGCAGAATGGACGCCAAAGCCTGATGATTCAAATGATCAGATCCTGTTCGCTACTTTCAGTCCCGACATCGCTCGGGTTGCAAAAGCGTGGACGGTAACTGCGACGCTCGGCGTCGACACTGGAAGTCACAAGCAGTATCGGACCAACTTAATCAGGCATAACAAGTCGGTGATGAACACAGGTATCAATTATGAACATTTCCGTGTATCTGCTGTTTACACCGAGCATACGTACCCCAAGCAAACTTCAATCACATAAGTCCTAGACTTACTTCTTATCGCAACCTTTGGTGTATACTGACCGCGTTAGTTTGAATGAGCAGACGACAGTTTGAACGAGTTTAAAAATGCAGACGACAGTTTGAACGATCAGACGGCCGTTTGAACGTGAAAACGCATTCAACGAGGCCCATATGTGTTCCGGCATAGCCGGTTCCGGACAACTCGACGGTTTTCCAACGTTCTTGCAGAACAAAACAAATAAATCTGACGACCACAAATATCCGCGAATTCGACCCAAAGGGCTTCCCGCACAAGCAATCATGGTCCGACGATGACTGGTTTTTCCTTTCCACGGCACCTATTCACGTTCTCGGTCATACCGAGCAGGCAGAAAACACATAAAAACTAATCTTCACACCTTTACCAGCTACTTTGGTACAGCCCCAGTTTCGGCGTTTTGACGAGAAGGCAGGTCGCTTTCAGCGAGTCAGTTACTCGAGCTGCCACCAGTCGGCGCGCCCTTCGCGCGCTTTCCGGGCCGCCATAGCCGACCTTCAGTTTCTCGCCGTTGCTCCGCGTTGTGTGCTGTACAGGCCACTACGGGAGCCTCGTTTTCGTGTTTTTTTACGTTCTGCGTTGAAATCTTGTATTTTCTTTAGGTCTTTTCTATTTTAAGGACTTTCATTTAATCATTTGATATTTATATTTCGACATAGCTCTTGTATTTTCTTATTTATGGAGTGGAATCGGACAGCGAATAGGTCGACGATACAAGATTCGGTGACCATGTAAGTTCATCCCATTCTTACGTTTTGGTCGCTAATATAGGGCAGTCAACACTATTGCGACATATGTAAATTGCAACGGGCGCAGTAAGGCTATCGCAGTTGTGCTTCTCGCTTCATATGCGCGCTCGTTTCCGTAAAGCCGACCCGCATGTAAGCGGTTTAGCGTGCGACGAGACAAGCAACGGAGATTTCTCACTGTCGCCCGTCGCATTGCTTGGTTTTGGGATTTCTAGAAAACGTCGCTCACCGTCTTGGTCGCTTGCTCTGTCGCTTCCATGCGGTTTCCCTCGTCGCGTGACATACTGAGCGACAGCGAAGCGGGTCGCCGTCGCTTATCTGGTCGCTCGCCAAATCGCTTACATATGGTTTGTACTCAATTAATTTCCATGCACACAGCACTGAAGCATTGGCGCCTCGATATTAAGTATAAACCGCATGCAAGCGGTTCGGCGAGCAACGAGACAAGCGACGGTGACCCGCTTCGCTGTCGCTTGGGCAGTCGCGCGACGAGGCAAACCGCATGGAAGCGACGGGAGCAAGCGACCAAGACGCTGAGCGACGTTTTCTAGAAACCCAAAAAAACCGAGCGATGCAACAGGCGACAGTGAGAAATCTTCGTCGCTGACTCTCGTCATTGTCGCCGTCGCTCGTCTCGTCGCACGCTAAATCGCTCACATGTGGGTCAGCTTTACAGAAACGAGCGCGCACATGACGTGGGAACACGACTGCGATAGCCTCACTGCGTCAGTTGAAATTTGCATATGTCGCAATGGTGTTGACTGCCCTTTATTAGCGACAAAAACGTTAGAATGGGATGAACTTACATCGTCTCTGAAGCCATAATCTTGTATCGTCGATCCCTTCGCTGTCCGATTCCATTTCATAAATTAGAAAATACAAGAGCTAATATAGGTATGAAATGATTAAATGAAAACTCGAAATGTCGAAAAGACCTAAAGAAAACACACGATTTCAACGCGGGACGTAAAAGAACGCGAAAACAAAGCTCCGGTAGTGGCCGGTGCAGCACACAACGCGGAGGAACGGCGAGAAACTGAAGGGCGGCTATGGCGGCAGAGTCACGTGACGCCAAGATGGCGGCGCCCATGAAATGTTGCCTGAAAGGGTATATACACGTTTGCAAGTCCGGTCTCAGGTCGCCGCCATCTTCCTCAGTGGGGTGCGCTCTTGGGCGCAACCATAATCCGATTATGACGCCCTCGCAAGGCTTCGTAATCGGATTATAACTCGTCCAAGCGCACCCCAGCCAAGCAAGATGGCAGCGCCCTGAAGCCGGACTTGCAAACGTGTATAGTTTCTTTCAAAACAACACATGAATGGGCGCCCCACACGGCGACTTCCGCCCACACCCCTAAAAAGGATGTGCGCCCGAAGCGCCACCACCATGGCATGACGTAACAGCTTGAGCTGGAGTATTCGCGACTCCAGCGACCTTGAGGGCGCTGCAATCTTGCTTGGCTGGGGTGCGCTTGGACGCGTCGTAATCCGATTACGAAGCCTTGCTAAGGCATCATAATCGGATCATGGCCGCGCCCAGGAGCGCACCCCACTGGGCAAGACGACGGCGCCCTGAGACCGGATTTGTAAACAAGGAGGATAGAAGGGTAGGAGAGGCCATGACGTCGGCCGCGTAGCCTCCACAAGCCATGCTCCCTTGACGCCTCGCCTCTTTCTCATTTTCCCCCTTACTCTCCTCACTTCCATGCCAACGTGACCACATCACGTGACCGTAGCTAGACTTCGTCTTGCTGTGGGGTACTAGAATACACCACAGTCTAGACTTCGATCTGAGAAAACCTACCGAACGGAGCGCACGCAAGCCTGCAAGGAGTCCTTCTACAATCAACCATCCATCTCACACGTGACATGTCACGCGCACCAATCGCCAGACAGATCTGTGGTCACGCTGGGCACAAAATCGTTTAAACTTTTTATGACTAGGCTTCACCAATATTGCAACGTGCCCCCTCCTAGTACTTTTAACCTCCTTGCCTGCAAACGTGTAAAGGGGGCGCGACCACCAAACAAACATGGCGGCTGGGTCCAGGTCGCGTCGACTCGGCCGGGCCGCCTGAACGGGTGGCGCATTCAATTTAACAGATTGTCTTTTGTTTAAAGGGATACTGAAGCGAAACTTGAAATACACCTATTATGGTCAGAAATAGGTTCAATATGATCAATGATATTCATAAATTATAATCGCGCGTTTGTATTTTGAACGGATGGCTATATTTTTCACCCTGATGGGCCCGATTGGGCGCGCGCTCAAAAATCGGCCATCGTAGAGCGCGATGCGTCTTGGGATATTGGGCGCATTCGTGACGTCACTTGTGCCAGTCGGGAAAGGCTGCGGCGTGAATGTTCTGGTTACGAGCGTTGCCACTTGGTGGCGCGTCGACGATATACGACCTGTGACAACGTGGCCGTTTGAGATGTGCAAGGGCTGCACGCACGCTGCACCACGGCAAGTCGGCAACCACGGCAGCACTGACAAAACCAGCTCTGAGGCCGGATTCTCAAAGCGAACTCACGACGAAAAAAGTGCGTACGACAAATTTGAGAGAAAACCCGTACTCTCGAAACGAAATTGTCGTAACCTTTGAGCAGGTTACGACAGAATCCTACGACAGCTCCGAAGCTGTCTTACGCACTTTTTACGATCAAATCAACAAGGCCGACAACGTCGCTCAGTTACTTGGTATCGGCCACCAACGGACATTTATTTTTCTACGTGCTCTTCTCGTGCGTCCCGACTTCAACCAGCAAGAAAAAAGGAAGGAGTACTTGAAACAGACCACGACGATCAAGAACGCAGGATCCACAAACACACGAGAAGAGCTACAACGGCCACGATTCTGCCGACCGAGCGAGCTCGGCAGAATATAGTAGGCCTAGCAGCAACATCGACTCGGCGCACCGTTGCTCCGGCGGTCCTTGGCCAAGACCGTCTGTCCATGACCGGCTGGCCTGCTGAATGGAATATGCCCGCGCGACCCTTGTGGACCCTTACCGGATGAGTAGTTTGATCCCTGAACTAAATTTCAGAGGTCAATATTTTCCCC